GGGTGAAGAGGAGTGCCAACTCATTTGCGGATGGGTTGGCCAAGCAAGGAGTGAATAGGGAGGCTGTTTTCTGGGCTAGTTTTTAATTTTCTTTGCTTTCCCTGAGTTTTCTGATTTTTGGGGAGCTAAGTTATTTTATCTCCCTTTGTATTCATTTCCCTCTATTCTCTTAATTTAATGAAATTGATGTTATTGATCAAAAAAATAATAATTGTCTCCTTTAGCATGCTAGGTTTCTTTATAGTTTAGACCCTATAGAGATTGTGTTGTAGACACTTAAACAAGTGACTGCAGCGCATCACATCCCACTGCACAGCTAAAACCCCACACTCAGATAACAAGTAAAACTGTGCTGAAGGATACTTAACTACGATTAAGCCTGGAGAGGACCCATACAACAGTCACTCAGTCAAACAACAAACCAATGCCCTCTCAGCAAGATACAGCGAACCATCGCCACAATGCAGAATTGACAGAACACCAAATAACAACACACATGCGGTTTAATACACCAGCGCAGTAACCCTCTAAGCTGTGATGACACCACCAAAATGTTGCAGCACAGCAGTACAACACGACTTGAGTGCTGCAATGCAGTAATTTAACATGCATAAAAACTGCAACGAATTAGCAGCACATTGACACTTCAATCAAAACAATTAAGGCATAGTGAGAAGTTCTAGAAGCAGGGTTGTAGCCAAACTTGTGCTTGTGTGCGGACCCCGAGAAAAGGGCGGGAGCCTTGGTCCTGGAGTCTCCATGATGACATGTGGCAAAACTCTCCTCCAATACCGAGTCCTTGCACAAGCCCCACCTGACTGTGTCTTCAACTCTCCTCCAACCTCCATTAAAGCCTCCTTATAGTTCGCAGAAACCTCCCTTCTCCCTCTGCCCTTTTCCCAAGGCCATCCACCATCTTTCAGGAAGACCCATACTGTTGCCTTACCTCCCCACTCACATCTCCTTATAGATAAGAGATAGGATAGTTATTGCTTGGGGCCTCCTCCATTAGACAGTAATGAACTTTGATGAATGCAATTTGGGAAACCTAGGTGACTCAAGAATAAGTTGGAACATAGCACTGAACAGAGTGAAATGGTGGAATAGTATACATGAATGAAGCTGACCCCATATAATTGGTACAAGGCCTAATTTAATTAAGGTGACTCAAGAATCAGTGCTTCTTCTATGGACCACAAGTAGATGATTGTAATGATGTTCTCAGATCCAATTGGCACCACAACTCAATTAGAGAAGAAATGTTGACTACTTCAAGATTTAGATTGGCTAGTTCCCTTGGGTACAAGGATCTGATTGTGGAAAAGGAATTTAAAATTATCATCAGCTAGATGAACCGATGAAAGAAGGAATAGCAGGTCTTTGATGCTTAAGACATCTAATCATGGAAGTTAGATATCTGGCGTTACCAATTTAGATACTTTTTCATGGGTCCACACATTGCAAGTATTGTATCAGATTCCCTAACCAGGGCGGGAATCAGTAGACAGCCTTTATTTTGGGGCACATACGCAGTTCAGTAAATTAATAATGCTTGTATTTGTGGGATCAGTTTGGGGAAAAGTAGCACTTGAGCTAGCACCTATTCACCTATTCATTCATGCTTTAGGGAAGAAATTATTAAGATTGTATTGTATATTGGCACCATGTTCTTTTTCAATAAATAAATTCATCACCAGTAACTAGTGAGAAAGAGAGTCCATTCAGAAAAGAACCCAACATATAAAGTAAAAAAATTGATTCACATTGGCAGGATCAAGAATCGAGTGAACATAAGAAAAATGTTTCCTTACATGCCTAGTCTAAAGTGTTGTTTTAAAATTGTAATCATATCATATATTGTAGAGAAGGTTGAAATGAATAGAATCGTAAATATATTGTAAACCATAAGATTACTTTTTGTTTTTTACAAACTTGTCAAAAAATTAAAAATAGATATACTAGTATTTAAATAATATAGAAAAGTAATTTTACCCTATTTTAATTCATATCTACTATTTGTGTATCTAAAACAAGAGCTTACAGCATGTACACTAGAAGCCTATGAAGATAAAATCAAGTTTGACTTGAATGACATGTAATATACATATAGTGGCTCTTCAACCTACAAATAATAGAAAATAAACTCAATATGGTTTTAAGAAGGTCATAAATAATCTATATAAAACATTTTGTACTAAGAGATTTAAAATAAGTTCCCTTTGAAAATTTTAAAAAGAAACAAAGAAATGACAAGAACTAAGTATTAATTGAATTGATTCAAGTAGCATGAATCATATAAATTGTAAGATATAGAAATAAAGTCATAGGATCAAACAAAAACTGTATTGCAGAAAAGGATTTAGACATAAGATTCAAATTGAAACCCTTGGAGTTCATTATTTGAATCATAAAACTATATCTTAAATTGCAAGATCTTGACAACCCTAAACATGTGTAAGAATCGAAGGGAGAAACTTCAAAAGTAGATTGAATAGGGTACCACATTGTACCAGCTTTCATATATGGAATATTATATTATATGCATAAATGTGAGAGTGTAATGTAAAAAAGAAATCAATCATAAACCATAGAATAGTAGTGCAAACTCTGAATAAATATGATAAAGCAAAATAGAGGCTGCCATACCATTGCCAGTTTGCTGCCTATAAAACCACAGAATTCCACTGTGTAAATATCAAGAAATAATTAGCACATGGAAGACAATGAACTGCAAATAAAATAACATCCTGCAATTCAAGGTATGAAATAAAAAAAATAAAAAAGGAAGAAGTGAAACATTAAGACGTGTACTGAAGGTTGCCAAAAAAACCACATGAGCACAAAAGGAACTGCCATTTCATTGGACACAAACATGGTTGTCAAGGCATTACCTAGGTGACAAAACAGTTCTCCACAGTCATTTAAAAGGGATGCCATGAAAGAATTAAATATGACATCATTAAGACATTAAGGCACTCCTCTAGACAATGTAATGGGCTTGAGGATATAAACCAGCTAGGAGGACTGGACATTTATTGATATGCTGTACACATTTATTGCTTTAATACTTCTCTCTCTCTCTCTCTCTCTCTCTGATATATATATGGCAATTTGTGAAATAATGATATTAAGTTTGCCATTGCCTTGTGATTTTGATGATATAGTGTACTTTGTTAAATTAAATGCATTGTTTTTTTTTTTGATAATTAATTAAATGCATTGTTATTCAGTAAAATTATCGATCTATAAATGCTGTATGTCATTCCAACTAGATAAATAACAGAAGAATTTCAGTTTTTTTATCAATTTTCATTTCCATGGTGATATGTTACCCAGCATCACTTGTACACAGTATACCTTGACAACTACAAACACTAAGTCCAAAAATTGCATGCAAAAGGTTGGATAGAAAAACAAATAAAATGGATAGCACCTGGGAAGCAAAGATACTAAAGGTATAAAAGACTTTCTATTACTACGACCATTTGATAATGGTTGCATTGGATACACTGAACTGCTTGCTTGTTCATCTTTAGTGGCTAGTTTAGTCCTAAATATCACATGATAGGCCTGGATATGGTCCAAACCTTTGGCCTTTTGTTTTGGAAAAAGTTGCTGCTCTCAGACTCAAACCTGCATTGTCACACTTGCCAGCCCGAGATTTTACCATTTCACCAACTAATGGCCCCTAGAAGACAGGAAGTGAGAACGGGTCTCTAATTTTCTCTTGAAGGGAGGGGTGGAAATTTTGGTGAGAGAATGGTACAGCAAGATATTAGGGAGAGTGATGAAGAGGGTTGTCATTCTGAATTTTTATTGGATTGTTTGTCTTGGTAAATCAAGGAAATGGCATGTTGGGTTTAGGCTGTTTTTAGTAGTTTGTTGTTTTTGTTTTGTGGGTTTAATGAGCAAATCTTGTTTATCTTTCTCTTTTCTTGGTGGTATTGTATTTTCTTCTTTTTATCTTTTAATAAAAATTTTCTTCACTGTCACCAAGAAAAAATTACTCTCAGTTGTAAACAGTTTCTATCCACACACTATAAAACACAATCAATAGTTCATGAAATGTATGTTTGTGTATGGTGAAACATAGAAACTGCATGTGCATAAAAGAAAAATGAACATTAAAACAAATAATAACAACATTAGAATGAGCTCATACTTAGATGCTTGCTCATAGCTGAAGAACTTGACAGCTGAGTTTGGGACAATACGTGCACAATTAGTTCCATTGCCTTTGAACAATCCTCGGAAACCTTCAGTTTTCCATATATACTTCAATCCTTGAATTGTTCCATTATACTTTATATTGTGAGGATTTTGAACCTGCACATTCCAGTAGCTACAAAATGTATCATGTTTTTAACATAAACTATGAGAAGAAAATTATAATAATGTATATATACTGATGAATGTATCACACTACATATATTGCAGAACATTATAATTAGATTACCTTTACATTGATAAGATCCTAACTAGATTGATTAACAGTATATGACATCTCTAATTCTTCTAATTAAGTTTTACAAGTTTCCCTGCACTACATACATTCTCCTGATAATTTGTCACTTTATAAGTGAAACTTCAGTACTTAACAATCATCTTAAATCTTTTAGACTGGTATGACTGCAGAATTGCAACTATAATTCAATTTCAAAGAGCATGAAGGGGAATGAGGCACCATAAATCAACACTTCATCCTTGGAAAAGAACCTTATCCTTTTCAAGAAAGTCAGAGTTTTCCCTTAACCTACCCACCTCCCAACACAGAGAAACAAACACAAACACATACAGATGCAGCATTTGGAGGATCGTTTCTCCACTACTACAAAAGTGGCCCTAGGGACTCATTTCAACAAGGGTCCAGTTTGAGGAAATCTCCAGTCACAGTTTTCCCTTTGAGGTAGTTTAAATAGTAAATGCTAACTGAATTACTACTTATCAAAAAAAAATGCTAAATAAATTACTTAAGAGCCTATTACATTCCTACCAATATTGGTTATTCATGTGGACAGAACCTATCAACAAGGTCCTAACCATTTATCACCTCATATCTTGGGGTAGAGATGTTAGGAATGCTAACTGAATTACTACTTATCAAAAAAAAATAGCTAAATAAATTACTTAAAGGTCTATCATATTCCTACCAATATTGGTTATTCATGTGGACAGAACCTCTCAACAAGGTCCTAACCATTGATCAACTCATATCTTGGGGTAGAGATGTTAGGAGTGTGTGTGCACTGAACTTCTTGATACAAATCTGGAATCACTCCTTAGAGTTGTTTTGAAGAGAGTTGATTGTTCCAGGTATCTTCATCAATTTGGCGGATGCTTGCTCAGTTAGGCAGTTTAGTTAAAAATAGTTCAGCTATGACACCAGAAAGATATGATATCTAAAAAAATTGTGACCAACCAACCGGTATCATAAACAAGTTAACCAATCAGGTGGAATTTATCAAAATTCACAGGTGGGTTTAGATTGGTCACAACTCTTATGGTATGCAGTCTTTCCAGCATCATAGATAGCTAAAATTCTTTGGAGCTTACCCCATTTTTAGCTATCTGACGCATATGGAGGGAAAGGAATTATGGTATCTTTGATGGCATTCATGGGAAGCACCTAGGGATCTTATTAGTGATAGGAAAGATAGAGCATGGAGTATATTGGCTTAATATTAGCTTATTTGAATGAATGTCCTAAAGATTTTGTAATTGGGAAAAACATATTTTTGAATGTCAGTAGATAATGTAAATGAGATGAAAAACTATACATGTATTTCTTTTTTGTATAGGGGGAACATGCTTAGTACATTTTTGCGAATAATATAATACACATTCACCTATCAAAAAAAATGAGTATTCTCTTTCTTTGCTAAAAATACTAAGCACACATTTTTCTTTCCTATTATGCCTAACAAATCCATTAAATATTGTACATAGGGTCCACCTGAGTTATAAAAACATGATGAAAAACCCAAAGAATCAACTTTTCTGATAAATGAGGACAAAGTGGATATGGGCAAAATTGATATATATATATATATGTGTGTGTGTGTGTGTGTGTGTGTGTGTGTGTGTGTGTGTGTGTGTGTGTGCATTCAAAACACACATGCGCACACGCACACACACATAAAGAAGCATGCACAAATGATTAAAAAGGCCCTTATTCCCCGGCCCATCAAAACAATGAAATTCACACATATAACATCTAAAAGCCTGGAATCATTAACACAATGGTTGGAAAGTAAAATAATGCAAAGAAGCACAACAAGAAATTCATATATATCCCCCTATTTGGAGCCAACCACTTGGACTTCAATCCTTGGCTGAACTAGGTATAATGAAGGAGGAATTCCAACAAAATAAATAAATGGTGTACCTGAAGCAAAATTTTTAACCGTTCTAATGGAGCAACAGCAGTGCGTGACCTGAAACATAAATACAAACTTGATTGAGGAATATCAAGGCATGAAAAGAATTTGCAGAAGTATATCCCTAAGAGAAAATACAAACTATAGGCATATTTTCATTATCATATACCTATAAGTTATAAACAATCTCTAATTGACAACAAATACAATTCCAAAATGTTGGGTTAACTTACACTATAAAACCACACTCTTCTTCAATAGTTGATGATAGTTCATTAATGTTAAGAATGATCATATTCTAAGAACATTTGTATGAAGTTGAAATATCACTTCTAGTAAATAAACACCCTAAGTCCTAGCACATTAAATATCATTTATAACAATCTACCAGACCTTCAATCTACCCACATAACCAACAGAACTACAACTTTACCATGTATCCTTGTCTCACATATCTTCCTTTCTTGAGAGCCATTCCATGAATGTCTTTCTTGCATCTCCCCCTACCCTTTTTTATGAGCATTGTATCTCCCTTTCATTTCTTAACCTATTTTCATGTACCCTTACTGTTTGCACATCACTCTGCCAGTGTGAGCTTGTCTTACACCACCGGTCCAAACCCAAATAAAGGAGCCAAGGAGGGTTGTGTCAAGTTTGCATCTAGCACTAAAATTTTTGCCAGACTTTCATGATCATGGATCCTGATTAGGGCCATCAATGGATTGGATATTGGTCCAACCTGATCTGGTCCAACATGAGTTCATTACAGATGGATCAGGTCCAATCCAATCCAATAAATATTTTGGATTGAACTGGTCCAATTCAATGTCTTATTGGACCATCCGGCCTGTTCAAATTGGTTTTAATTCAGATTGCATCCAACCCAAACCCAGTCCATTGACATCCCTACTCTTATCTTCTGTCAATGGACTGGATATTGGTTCAACCTGATCAGTCTAATATAAATCCATTAAAGATGGACCAGGTCCAATCCAATCCAATAAGCACTTTGAACCATTAAGTCTGGACTGGTCCAATTCAATGTCTTATTGGACCATCCAACCCATTCAAAATGGTTTTGATTCAGAAAGGGTCCAACCCAAATCCAGACAATTGACACCCCTAATCCCGATTTGTCTTTTCGTGCTCATGTTAGTGCATTCTTCAGAAATGAAATGCTACAATAGTCTCAAATGGGCAAGGGTATGTAAGCGTTAATAGTTTAACCATGGATATTGCATTAAATAGAACAGAATGGCGAAACAGGATTCATGTAGCCAACCCCATATAGTTCGGGTAAGGCTTGGATGATGATGATGATGATGATGATGACGACTTCTTGCACATAATGAAATGAATAATTTCTAATCGATAACTACATAATGAATGTAAAGGAATTATAATTCCTCCTTGCTAGTTAATTTTGCTCCAGGGATGGGTTTGGCAAATTTGAACCAGGTACGCCCATGTAATTTGGTAAAATCTTAAAGATTCACCCCCATATTAATGGGCCTAATTTCCTTTTACTCTTTTATCCTTTCTTTTTGAATCAATCTACTTACTCTGCATTTGCATTACAAAAGCTGTTGATGACACCCATTGGTTAACTTCCAGACTGTTGTCAAGGCAAGTAGGCAGGTACCTCTAAGTGCCAAGCGCTAGCATTATGTACTCCGCCATTAATAATTTTAGCAGTCCAAGATTTGATTCATTTTCTTTTGATCAGTGTCTAAGATTTTATTATTTGATGCACGAAAATCATATACATGCTGTAAAGAAAAGAAGGCACAATAAGATTTCAGCTTCAAATAGCAAGTACATATGGCAATACTCAAAAATCAATAAAACAAAAACAATTTATTAGTTTCATATTTATGACAGCATTATTGCTACAGAACCAAGGGCTCTGAATCTAAAGCGAACGAAATGTCCAGTTCCTAGACAATTATGTCACTGTATCATAAAGCTTAGAAGTATATAGCTATATTATTATGGGACAAAATTCTGACAACAAAAGGAAGATTTACATAGCCTGTGAGAACGCACCAGTGAACCATCTAATTTACAAAACATCCTACCTTTTGTACACAAACAATTTTAGGAGACTTTAACAATAATATAACAGAATTGCAGTCACCTTCACTTTTAGCAATTGAGGAAGCAAACAAACTTAGATGGTGATAAGAAATCTAGTTCGTGGTGCATTGAAGTTTGTGCAAATTAATAAGATGTATAATACTGCATATTGGCATGCCCAAACAATCTTTCCTCTAGTGTTTAAGCAGATAAATGAAAAATTAATTTTCTTGTTCTTCTTCTCTTTTTTCTAGTGAGAATTGTGAACATGATGTTCACAAGGATAATAACTATGAATTGGGATTAGTGCAAAACAATAGTTAGAGCTTAATAAATTAACGTCGTTTTGGGGGATATTGTAGAATAAGAAAAATTTTAACCATCAATTATGTATCCAACAACCGACGAAGATCCCAACTGAAGTTGAGAAAAAACAAAGTCGAATGTCAATTGCAAAACAAAATAGAAAAATACGGCACGATCACACTAAGAAGATCGCAAATCCCATTAAAGGATTGAATAACCAACCACGTAACCATAACTAAAAAGGCAAAAATAAATCTCCACCACCTCCCCCCAAAGGAAAAAAAAAGAAATGCAAAAACAGAACCAGCAAGAAATAATGGGAAGCTAACACTAAATTCACCAGGAAGCAAAAGAGAGAGTTCGAGTAGATGAAGAACTCACACTCCTCCGGCGACTCCTCCAGCAACGAGAGACTTGCAGATACTGAGGATCGCGTGACTAGGCGCCTTAACTCCTTCACTTGCAAGCTTCGCCTCTTCAGCAAGATTGACGATCGTCGAGACTGCAGATTCGCTTGTTTTCCCGACGACATCCTCCGAAGCCATCAAAGATCAAACCTTACGAAGCAAACTCAAGGCGGAACCCTAGGAGCACTAGGAGCTTCGTTTTCTTGAGCCGGTACTTCCGCGATGGATCAGTTTTCCGTCGATTAACCGAGAGCAAAAATCTCCATTTTTCTGCTGTCGCAGTTGTTGGCGGTGACCATAGAGAGGAAAGAGGTCGTTGGCAAAAATATGCCGGGAAAACACCACTTTTGGCTGGAAGTTCACAGATGAGACGGCGTTCTGTTAATTCATATAATGTGATAGAGAGAGAGAGTCTCAGAGTCTAATAAGTCTGTGGGAAAGAATGGCCGAATGAGGGATGTGTTAGTTTTATATGGTACTGGTAGTATAATGGTACAACAAGTGAACCCGTTCTCTTCTGTTGGTTGGATTGCCGATTGCCTTTCCAAAACGGAAACCTAGACACATCTGACGGCCGTTGTTCGTACGATAGCCATCAGACCAATTCCGATTGTGACGGGATCTGCTCCTCGCAAATGGGCGCCTCGCAGGAACATTTATCGTGCATTGGGAACATCTTCCGATTGTGACGGAAATTTAGACACATCTGACGGCCGTTGTTCTCGATATATGTGAGGAGCAGATTAGGTTATATAAATGCCGTCGAGATTCTAATTTACCCAAATACCCTTTCTATTTTTCATATCTACAAAGTACACGTTGTACTGAAGGAACGAGGAAGTTTCTACTGATCCCAAAATGGCGGGGAGAGGGTCAGCCGGGGGACAAGGAATCGGGGCTCCCAATCCCACTCCCGCTATCGAGTCTCAACTTTCACACTAATAAAGATCATCCAGATGAGACCATAGTGCTCAGTGTCTATTCTCACCAAGCTGAGCCGTTGTGCTTCATTCATTCAACAACAACCAAGAGCGAGACGAGACAAATATGTCATCTTTCGTTGCCTAGAAAAAGACGGGACCGTTTTATTAAAAAAGGAAAGCACTTAAAAAAGGCATAAATATCTTTTTAATTTTATTTAATTTTTTTATTAATCATTCAAATATTAATAAAAAATGAATGGTCTCAAACCATTTTCTATTTTATTTTAAGAAAATTGAGGTTACATTTTGTCATTGATGATTTTAACTTTTTTGAATAGAAGAGGCAAAGATTTGAGATTACTCATTTTCTATCAATATTTAGATGATTGATAAAGAAAATTAGATGATACTCAAATTGGTATACTTTGAAAGTTTGGGTATTAGATTATCGCATTTTAAAGTTTGGAATCCAAAGTGATACTAAGCCCAAAGTACAAGATACTAATCGAAAATTTTCCAAAAAAAAAAGCATAGAACCTTTTTTTTTTTTGAGGGGATAGCTACCACTCAAGTTCCAAGCTCCACAAATAATTTGCTTAAAAAAATTGCATTCAAATGACTTAATTTGTCACGTGGCATTTGTGCTAGCGTGTTAAAAACATGCTTCATGAATAATAAAACCTTTGAATGAGTATGGATCCAGCCTTGGTACCTCAGCATTCATCATCCGAGTTGCAACAGCCCGAAAGGCAGGGGAGGAAGGCTTGTATATATAATTAGGGGTGTCAATTGGACTGGATTTGGTCCAATCCGGTCCAGTCCAATGTGAGTCCATTACAAGTGGACCCGGTCCAATCCAGTCCAATAAATATTATGGACCATTTTCGACCGGTCCAGAGACTGTCCAATCTGTTCAAATTCCTGTTAATTTAGATTGGTTTCAACTCAAATCTGGTCCATGGACACCTATGTTTTTATCTTCTATCAACGGACCAGATATTGGCTCAATCCAATATAAATTCATTATGGACGGACCAGGTCCAATCCAATATGTCATATTGGTCCGTCCAGTCCATCCAAATTCAATATATTTTATTGGTTCGTCCAATCCGTCCAAATGGATTTTGACTTGAACGGAATCCAACCCAAAACCATTCCATTGACAC